GGGACGAAGAAGAAGAAGAAAAAAAATAATAATAATAATAATAAAAGGAAATAAATAATAAGAACAACCGACCGAATAATATCTTCTGCAAACGACCGACGGCCATATTTCGTAAAATTAGGTTTTTTTTATTTATTTATATTTGTTAATATATTTTCTTACTTTTGTAAAATGACTTGTTTTTCCTCTGGGAATTTCTCAATGTAGAATCGATTGAGGTGCGTGGTTTCGAGGTAAAATTCTTGCTATAATATGTGAATCTTTATGATTGATTATTTATACAAATATATATAGACAAATATAATACAATTCATAATTACAATTGGTAATTTATTTAGAACAATATATTTTAGTAACGTGTTAAAACTAATTCAACTTTTAAGTCGAGAAGCTTTTAAGTGTTAAAAGAGGAGGGCTTACGTACTTTTAAAATTATTTTAGCAGTTATACATAACTTCATACGTATACATACGTATTTTAACAGAAGCAATATGTGGTGTGAATTTTGTTTAAAACAAAAAGGTGAAGACCATTTTTTTTTTTTTTTGCGTAATGTTTTTGTTTCTCTTACATATAGTCAGCATACAATGTGTTCATACCTACAACCAATTTCGTCTTCATTTCGAACATAGATAGCAATAACCTTTGATGGGAAAAAGGCTGCCACGTATTGGATGTTTTAATAAAAGTTTAAATTGAAAACGATTCGTAGCCATGGCCATGAGGGAGATGAAAGTTTTATAATATTATTATAATAAATATCCGCGGAACGTAATCGTTATACGAAGCGAAAAAGGGCTCTGCCTTCCCGATTGATTATACATGTATACATATATACATGCCTTCTTCCAACGTTTTTAAACGAGTTTTGAGCATATTCTCTCAAATTTACTGACATCAAAGACACCTTATATATAGGTATATATGGTGGGAAAAGTCGAACAAATTAGAAAATAATATCAGTTTAACCAACGGACACATTAATGCAATTTCCTTAAATCGATTTCATTGAACAACATAAATTTAGCATGCAATAATATTATTACTATCGGTGTAATTTTTTTACATAACTATTTAATGTTCATATAGCTATTAGTTTTAAATTGACAGTTTAAGATTTCAGCACTACTTATTTTTCAATTTTTATTTATTCGTAAAATATAACAGCCCAATTAATCTAATTAAAAAAATAATCTTTTCAGAAATACTGCATATACATTCTTATTGTTTTATTTTTTTTAATTCATACAATTTAAAAATATTTCTACAGTCTTATATTTGCGTTATTTTGAAAATCTCAAATGTTGTTCACGTAGGCTACATGATTTTTTTTTTAAACTCTAAAATGACTACATTTTCATGAAGAAATAAGCATCTATTTTATGCGTTTAATATGAATTATATTCAACTATATATATAATTCTGCTGTAGTTTTTAAGATTTTCAAGGCCTCCTAGCTACAATATAGAAGAATTGTATTATATGTAGAAAATCAACTAGAGATTTTATTCAACGAAATTGCTTTCAAGTGAATAATTACTCCTTCTCTAACCATACATCGCACTTTCTGTTAAGTCATGCTGCACCCCTTCGGCTTGTACTTGAAACGATTATTACTTTATACTTGTTCATATCGTTTTTATTACATTCAGAGTCTTTCAAATTTATTATTCCAATATATTTTCATGTACTCGTTCATTAAAACTGTTCTTGATCGTGATGACTTCCGTTTGTTCAAAATCACTGAATTAATTTTTGAGTGTGTTTCCGTTTGATTTTTAGAATCATTTATTTGACTTTGATGTCCTTTTTTTATACTCCATTTATTTACGCACCACAAAAAGTCAACACGTTCATTTAGATTGTTTTCGATTTGTTTAAAATGGGGTTCTCCTCCACCTCTTATATCGTCTTTGGAAACTTAATAATAATATAATACAAAAAAATGCCACTTTTTTCCCTCTCGCTTCGGTGGTTTGTATTAATAGTACACGATTTTCACTCTTTACTGACGGTCTATACAGTAATTGGCGACCCGAGTCCTCTATAATGACTTTATCAGTAATAAAATATGCAAAATAAAATAGTGAAAAATCAAAGCCCGATAACGGTTCGACTAACTTGTAAACGTTAAGAGAAAATCTTTTGATTTAAAATAAACCGTAATCTTTGAACCGTAAAATCGACGATTTTTATGTACTTCTCGCCTTTTTTACAAAGTAAGTTTTAAAGTTTTAACGAGACTGCAATTTTATTTTTATTTTTTACGGGTGATAAAATGTATAATAATATTGTCATGTGTAAAAGCTAATCTTGATATTTGATTTTCATATAACTTATACGATGTGAATATAAATCGTGAAGCGTAAACAATCGTTTCAAAAATATTTAAGTAAGAAAATAAAAAGTTATAAAATAATGTTATGAACGTTCAATATTACCACTACACGTGCTCATATATAAGTAAGATATTATAATAATACAGTATAAATTGAATAATGCACTTATATTTGTTTAATCTTATTCAAGTCGGTACATGAATTATTAATTTATATAGATTTGAATTTATCTGCTAAATATTATTAAAATTAACAAATTCTGATAAATTTAATAATTTTCTGCAATTAAATATATTTAATAAGTATATAAGTAAATAAATAAATAGTTTATATATAAATAAATGCAAATATTATTCACAATTATTAACTATTAACTAATTTTTATTATTTTATTATGTAAATATATTTTTTTATATCAAATCCTTGATGATTTATTTAAGTATACAACTCATACTTTTTTTCTTATATTATAAGTTATTAAATTTAACAAATATCATACAGAGAAAAAGGTATTATCATCAAATTTCGGCTTGCAAACAATAGGTAACTTTGATAATGTGATTAGTTTCTTCCAGATAACCGATAATGTTCTGTGTTTATGAAAATAAAATGGCAAATCTAATAAAACGACCGTCACTCGGTATGGTTATTTATAACGGATCAGTGATGGAAGGATGAGGAGTGGCGGGTTCGGTCAATTTGTTATCCTTTTAATTAACGTTAGGGAAAACGCGAATATGGAGGACCCCCTTTTTGATAATGTATTGCTCTTTCCTTGCACGCATTATAAAATGACACTGGTTAATGAAATTCTTGTTCTTCATTAATACAACATTATGTGTGTATGCAATATACATATACACCGGGATAGTAATGTGTGCACGTGTATGTGTGTTTGTATGCTACTACTTCGGCGACCTTCTTCGGCAGAGCATACAAAAGGGACGACCCTGAAAATTTATGTCTTCCGAGAGACTGGAAACTATGTGCTATTATCCTTAGGTTACACACACGCGCGCTGGCGTAAACACATTCCGAACGTAACAACATTTTTGCAGTGCCAATCCATCGTAGTAGGAAGAAGATAAAACACTTGAATTGTGTACACTGATAGTACATTATTATATTTGACAATAATTTTTAAAAATTAAGTATAAAAGAAACTATATTATATACATTGTAAATTATTTTACAGTTTAATTTAAAATAATATGTATGGATTTTCTTTTTAAAAAATAATGAAAATTAAATGATGTAACAAAATTTTCTATAAAATATAAATTTACTTAAACAATGTAGAATCTTAATCTAAAATAATTATGTCAGTAGCAAATCATTATTAAAGTAGATATATTAAAAAAAAAAAAAAAAAAAAAAACAATGTTTTAAGATCAATATTTCTTATTTACCCATATCATTAAATAATAGTTATTAATTAAAATATGAAGTATTATGCTTTGAAGACAAATTTAACCTAAATTGTTCAACGAAGATATAGTAGTAGTATGAAGAAATATATTTTATGAAAAGTTAATATAGTATGTATAATAATAATAATAACTCAAATAATTAATTATTTTTAATTAAACTGTACATCTAAACTTTAATATTATGTATTATTTTAAATGTTTTATCACTAAAATGTAGTCTATTACTCTATTAGATATTTAAAACCATTAGTTGTACTTTAAATTTCATAAAGGAACTAAAATTTATCTTTCATATAAGCAGTGCCGCCGAAAACATATGTCAAGTGGGATAAATACCCCAGAAATTGTTTAGGTGGTGGGTGGATGGTTAGACTTAATGAGTGCTAGATATATTATTGTAACTATTGTATGGTAAAATGTTCCATAGTATTATGTAATTACTAGATGTGTAGTAAGTACTCGTAGTTCACGGGTATAAAATACTTGCTATTTATAATTTTTTTGTGAGTAGGTGGTTACTCATAAGTAGAATTTACCCCAGTAATATAAAAAAGGTTTGGCGCCACTGCATATAATACCACTTGATGATTTTATAAAGTATGTAATTTACCGAATATGTTGAAATAAAATTTGAAAAGAAAAATCAATCACCTTATGTATGTTTTATTTTACTGTCGGTGAGCATTAACAATATTGTTCTGAATTTCGATGACACATAGCAAAATGCAATATAAATTAGAAAATTCAACTACTTACTGGTATGTGCAGGTACGCTTGCTAAAGGATATATAATTGCTGGAGACATTCAATAATAATATTCCCTCGTTATGATATTATAATATTAATCTTCTTACATCTAAAAGACAACTATAACTAAATCATAAAATCATTGATTTTGACCATATTAAAAAACAGGGATAGATTTTCCAGATTTCCCTTTTCTTTTCCCATCCAAAGGTAAATGCCGAGCTTTTTAATCCTTTCCCTTTTCAAAAAAGGATTATACGATACGTATAATAAAAACCCAGAGGAAAAAAGTATACAAGTGCGCCCTCGAATACAACGTATATGTGTATTTAAAAACGACGCCACATGTCCCTTACTTACTTACTAATCCGACTGGGTCACCGCGGTATTCTTTACCCTTCGAGCTAGGCTTAAATTCATATAATATATTAATTTATGATATGTTTTGTTAATTTTTTTTAACTGTGTCCGTTCATTTTTTTAGAAACTTTACCCAAGTTCTCCACCCTTGTTCGACGTGGACGAAATATTGATCAATGAACCAGGAACTTTATGTGCCCTCATTGGCTCTAAAGGGGTTTCAGTGATGAAGTTCCCGAAACGGATGGGATCCAAATCTCTATACGAAAATGGCAACGGTCAAGGAGAAGGAGTGACGTGCAGGTAAAAAAGTGAACATGTAAATTATTATGCAAATGATTTTGCTGCATCAACTGAAAATAAATAAAAATAATAATAAAGCGAAGGAGAAAAATATATTTTATGTCTAACATGGAACCAAGGGAATCAACATAAATTAGGTTCAAAGCGATATAGCTTTGTGTGACAGAAACATCGGGGATTTTACTCGTGGACTGGAGGGTGAGAGTTCTTTGATAGGAGAATATTTCATTAACGGTCAAAAAGTCCGAGAGCGTTCTTTTGACGATATGGAAAATAGGAAAAACCCACTCGTATCCGCCAGCCCGGAAAATTAACCCTTTGCCGCCGACGTCGTGTCCACGTCCAACTATATATGACAGATCAGATAAAAATTTCTAAATTATACGAACAAAACAATTACGGCCCCGATTGTCTAATAACCGAATCATACGCTGATATAAGCATTTTAGTATGTGCATTTACGTAACGGATTTTTATGACATTCTAGTATCGCCCCACGTATATTGTTGAATGTTTCCCGTAGTAGCGTTTTATCAGAAACCGTTTACGATTCACTTATTTTGTCATATTTCAACATGGTTTTGGATTAAATATTAAGATTTCTTTGCAAGTATTCAACTGAAGACTACGAACAGTGATTATGTGTAGTATATAGTATATTAGAACATTAACAATTTTTATCACGATGACAAACTATAGTTTCGTTAGTACAATTATATTTACTTCGTTTGATGTAACTATAATACGAATATTATCTGAAATTAAATTATGTATTCAGCTAAGCAAAACAATTATGTAATGATAATTTCACAATAAAATGCTACTGAATCTACTCAAATGAAAACACATTTTTCCACTAACATAACAACAAACAAATAAATAAATAATAATATCTAAAATACATGTTTTATAAAATTTTACATTAACGACATTTTCAGATTACAATTTATGAATTATTATTATAACAAATCATATTTAACTATAATTTAATTAGTTTTTTTTTTCAAAGATAATAACATATTCTACATTAAAAACCCTCATGGCTTACAGATAATTTTACCGTAGTAGCCTGCTATAGCTCATTTATACGACCATTGCCCACTTTATGTATTAATATCACTTCATGAAATTCAAACTGACTTATAGGTATAACTAGTGATGGATTAAAGCGACTATTCGTTGCTACCGACTATTATTCGGTTTTCATCAGGTACTTACCTACTAATTATTCGATTAAAATTTTAGCAACCAACTATATATAAATCATCTATATATATATACTAGCTGACTCGACAAACGTTGTTTTGTCATATAATTATTTCTGGAGAATATTTTGCTAGAAAAAAATAAATAATTTATTATAAGTGTGTTAGGATGTAGTATGTAAGTGGAAGAAGTATGGAGTGTTGTGAACGGTGACGAAATATAAAAATGAAAAAACATCAAACATTTATTTTTTTAATAATTTATTAACATTGATCCTTTAAAATTATATATATCGCTAATTATGACAATATTAGTAAAAAACAATATCAATCCCTTAATGCAACAGAGTGTACAATATTTTTTGTTATACCATCTTTCATCAACACAAACAAACTGGATGGTTCGAGAGCACGCCACGTATAATTGTCCGTGTGAAAAATATGATGTGCTCAAATCTAAGCCACAGACAGACATCGTTTGGCATTGAGACTTATTGATAGTCATTGCAAATGCCAATCTAATTGGAAATTGGAGGCATTTAAATTGTATTGGCACATCTGTGGGTATAATAGGGATTTGCGGTAATAATATATTTTCACTTCAGAATTTGCCATTTAAAATGATGGCTTCGATAACATTTTTCATTAATTTTTTAATGACTATTCGCGTGCCGTTGTACAACCGTGGTGGGCTCAAATTTCGAAGCAATATAACCAGAGATCCAACCTTCAATTGTAATTTATTCAATGGCATGCCTGGTAAATCCAATGAGTTTAAAAACTCAGTTGGATAATTTATAGCTTCAGTAGCATCGCTAACTGTATCAATAGATTTATATGACACCAAGTCTCCTAGTAACAAATGTTGTATCTTGAGATTCAATTCATTGACGTCCACATTTTTTGCTGCTAAAATTGCTCTTTCTGTCAGCCACTCATGATTTGTGTTTTTTCTGTGTACTTTGGGAAATATCTGGTCAATGAGAGCATCTTACGAATCAATGATTGTGCAGAAATCGGTCGGTAATTGTATGCATCCCGTTTCATTTGTAGTAACTTTCCCATCACCGATATCTAACAATTGTTTTGAAAATTTCCCGCGCGCAGCTTTTTTTGATTGAATCGCAAGTATCGTAATCGCTCGCTCTCTATCTTTACATATATGTCAACCATGAATTATTGACAAAACTGACGATATCGTAGAATAACGTTGTCCTGATCGCATCTAATCATCAACCGATATGCATAATAATCCTTCGAACTAACATTCTTGTTTATTTTGGCACTTGTTGCGGAACTTGTTTAATATTTATGCAATATCCATCATTTAATACCAAAAATAAAATGAATAGTTTTTAAATAGTTTTTAATAGTTTTTTAATAGTATCATTTAATAATTCATTTTTAATTTCGCAGTTATCGACCTGGTTAAAAATCATTAAATTAAACTACAATTTTTTGTAAAAACAAATTTTTAGGGTTTTTCCAGCAATAATTCTAATTTTTCTCGCCGTAAAAACCATCCTTGAACTTCAACGAACATTTGAAAAAAAGATTTGGCCAAATTGGTCCAGGCGTTGTTGAGTTATGCGCTTACCAACACATTTTGCGATTCATTTTTATATTATAGATATATATATATATGAGTCGACTAAATTTTGTGCAACCAACTAATATATATATATATAAATTAAATTAGTCGATATATTCGACTAAAAATTGTTCTACCAACATTTTTTTTAATAGATGACTTATCAACGACTGAGTACCTACTTCAGAATGCAAAGTACCGAAACTGAACTACCGACTAATTTTAAGAAATTTAAAATAAGCTTCCTGTGTAGTCGTAGACCGTAAGACTAATAAAAAATAGTCATACAAAATGTATACCTACTATAACACATACACACTATAATATACAAACGTCTATAATATGAGTCAATATTGTTGCGTTGTGTTTCTGAATCTGTGTAAATTTTTTTACAGATTTAGAAACACAAAAAAAAATATACAGTTCAATTTTTCTAAGAAATAATAAATGCAAAAAAAAATATTACACACCCAAAAAAGATATATATGTTCATATTTTTATTTAAAATTGAAATACATAACTATCAAATAATACAAGTACTCGTAATCAAATTAATTACAAGATGGAACATTTCACTCAGATTTCACTGCACAAACAAAAAATGAAACGTTTGTGTTTTAATTTGTAGTAATATAAAAATGATATTAAAGATAACAACACAAACACATAATTATGGCCCGAGTTCAAAGAAATCTTTAGCTGTAGATATAGTTCGAAGTTCTTCTAAAATAAAAGCAATTGAAAATTCATATAAAAAACCGAATAAAATTATTAGGAAACTAATATTCAATTAACTATGAAATATAAAAATCAGAAATTTTGTTTCGTAAATGAGCAAAAGTCAATAGTTATTATAATTTTTGGTGACAATTTACGAGTCATATGTGAATCTCAAAATGTTTTTGGAGATGGAACATTTCCTAAAATGTCTGTCACCTATAAACGTTGTATGTATATACACACAATTATTATGTACCAGTAGCTTATGTATTCTTAGCATTAAAATCAAAAAGTAATTATTTGAGTATGTGTTTTGAAATATACAAGTTATGTAATAACTTACAAAAAGTAATAATGTATTAATTGGTGAAATTCTTCAAGTACCTACATTTTTTTTCGTTCCGACTTTGAAAAAGGTGCACTTTTAGCGATACTTGGTGTAAGATCCGCCCGACAAAATAATACCGATATCTATAAAAAATACTCTTACGTTTCGCCCAAATAGTATGTTTAGTAGAATATACACTCGCCCAAACGGTATGTAACTAATCACCCAAACAGACCATATTTTGGATCGCCCAAATGGTCTACGCCCGTCAATCTTGAAGCACAAGCAGTTCGCACTTCATCTGCCTTTCCGTTTCGCGATTCATCTACGAAATTTTCATGACCATTTTTAAATTATTTGTGCCACCGGAATACCTGTACACGACTCATGGCTTTATCACCAAACACCATAACTACTTTGTCAAACGTGTACTTCGCAAATTCGCCAAATTTCACACAAAATTTGATCACGTACGTATGCTCGTATTACGATGTTCCTATTTTGTAACACGCTCTTCAACTGCGAGCTTAAACAATACAATATAAAAAAAGAAACCAATTATCGTACGGTAGTTTATACGAATTCGTTTATTAATAGATTAAAATTTGGTTATTGAGTTCCCAAACTTTCAGATTTGTAAAGCTATCAAAAAAATCAATCTTTATACTTAATTGTCAAACCTCATATTTATAATTCAACTTTTTTCTTGTACGCTTATAATATAATGATCCATTTTAACCAAATAATAACACTTGTTACCAAAACTAATTTCAGCAAATTTAAAGTTTTTTTTTTAGATTACAGTCATTTTTAAAAATAATCAGTAGGTAATTATTAAGCTTATTAAGTTGATATAGCTAGGTATAGCTAGTTATAACTAGCTGAATAAATAGCTGAATATATTAAAATTTGATTTTTTGATTTAAAATGTTAATTTTACAGTCGTATTCGAAATTTAATTTATGCGTACAGCTTATATTGCTTCAACTAAAACGTTTAACATTTTGTACTAATTATAACAAATTTAAAATTTATTAGAATTATTGAGATTTCGTATTAAATGGGATATATATATATATATATAATATCTATATTGAATATAAGACTGTATTAAATAACGTGATTCTAAAGGACATTCAGAGATTGGAAGATAATA